CCCTTCCTGACACAGGCAGGCAGTTGAAGGGGGAGGTAAAAAACTTTTCCTGAATCTACTAGATTTTAAACGCTTTTTAAAAAATGTTTATTTCTTTTTGAGAGAGAGATAGAGCACAAGTGGGGGAGAGGCAGAGAGAGAGGGAGGCAGACAATCCGAAGCAGGCTCCATGCTGACAGCAGAGAGCCGGATGTGGGGGGCTTGAACTCGCGAACCTCGAGATCATGACCTGAGCCAAAGTCAGACACTTAACTGACTGAGCCACCCAGGCGCCCCAGAATGCTTTTTTTTTTTTTAATGTGTTTTCTTCAGATTTTATTTCTAAGCAATCTCTATACCCAAAGTGAGGCTCGAACCCACAACCTTAAGATCAAGAGTTGTATGCTTACAGACTGAGCCGGCCCAGCCAGGCACCCCTGATTGCTTTTAACTCCAAGTTCAGGCCCAAGGGGCCCATCTTGGGGGCAGCCTGGCCTTGGCCCCTACAAAGCCATAAAGTATTTATTAGTTAAAACTGTGGGGTGCATACTGTGGCAAGAGGTAAGCCAAGACACATATCTGGGGGAACTCTGTTAGATGTAAAGAACAAAGAAGAAAACCCTGACCAATGATCTAAATCGGAAATATTTATACAAAGGAGTCGGCGCTCAGAGAGTCACGGCGCCTGATAAAAACAGGGAAGTATTGCCCCTGCTTATGTTCTTATCCTTAAACCTTCAGGTCCAAAGGGTCCTGCGTGAGATCCCACTCTATTCCAAACCCCAAGCTTCTGGTCTGACTGTTTTCCCGCAGAAAGCAACGATCCTTTATGAAAATCCACAATATTCTAAAAATACATCAGCTGGGCTGCAGTGCCACAATTAGTGGAGCTGCTGTCCCGGGAAAACCCTCATCACCATTTTGCTTAGATCAGAGAGCGGATTAACTTTGATGTCTGTCTGAACCCCGTGTGAGACACCCCTGGTGGTCTGCTCCCTGCAAGCATTCAATCTTCACATCCAAGGGAAGAGGAGAAAGTGCCAGATAGGAGCCCAAACCAATTTTTTTTTTCTCAGTGATTGAGATGAAAATATGCACCCTAGGACTCCTGACATATTTGACTTGCATCCTGCCTCCTTCTATCCTTGAGCTCTCTCCCCTTTTGCACAAATATCTTCCTCCAGATCCAAATTTCCTTTGGCTTTTGCAAACAGAAGCACAGCTAGGAAGCCCCAAGCCCTTTGTCTGTGCCGTGTGCTGGAGGCCGTTGTGGGAATTTCTGTATCGATTAGGGCTTCCGGTGGTGTGCAACCGAAACAGACTCTGATGGATGAAGTCCAAAGGCAGTTTACTGGAAATACACGGGTGGCCTGCCGCATGTAATAAAGAACCAAGGATTAGACTGCAAGGGGGAATACGGGAATCTATAGGATCACAGGCGGGTGGGACATAATCTCATAGGAACATTAGCAATGGGAGAAATCCACTGCAACAGTGCTGCCTGTCACCACTCTCACGATCCTTATTTCTGGGAGAAAAGGGACAACTGGACCAGGTTGGAATTGTACCCACACTCAGACAATATGAACCCACTGACTTTGCAAGGCAGTGTGGATTGGTGATGATTGCAGGTCTCTGGAGCCAGCCAGACTGGATTCGAATCCTGGCTCCACTTTCGTGGCTATTGAGCTAGTCATTCTTGCTATACTCCAGCCTCTCTCTATGCAAATGGAGAATCGGGAGCTATTATTAGGGAAGGCTGAGTGACCAAAAAGCAATTACTACCCACTGCCACATCTTATCCCTCTACCAGACTATAGATGCCATGAGGACAACAGACTGTCTCGTTAATTCACTGCTGGCTGCATCCACCAGCATTTGAAATGTGCCTGGCACACAGTGCTTGGCTCCGTAAACCTTTGTCAAATACACAAATGCTGATGCTTCCTTTTTGTGTTCCCAATCAGCTGGTGCAGTGCTTTGCTGGAATAGGCACACAATAAGTATTTGATTGAATCCGTTAAGTTAACCCCGTTAAGTGGGGTTCTCAGAAACAAGGAGAACACGGGGATCAAAGAGATGAACCTATATTTGGTAGCAGTCAGTGGCAAGCAAGGGATATGGAACTAATTTTTGGTGGGATGATGTTAATATGATGATTACTGTATTTGTAGGTTGTAGCCCGGCTGCTGGTCAGACTAAAACCTTTAGATCTGCATGAGGGGACAGCACCATGTTGCTTTGCCACATCACCCCGGAGAGGGGTATGGCTCATCTGTCCCACGCTAGTCCATCTCTGCCTTGAAGGCATTGCTGGTACCTTCTGAGGACCCCTGGGCACTCTCCGTACTGGCTTCAAAGGCTCTGTGGGGAGGGCTAGCCCAGCCTCCCTGCTCAGTGTGCTCGTGGAGACAGCAAGGTCTCACAGAGAAGCCTGTCAGATCAGGAATCATGAAAACTACCCCATGGGTCTGGCTCAACTAATGGTGTGTGACTCTAAGACAGGTCTCTGGTCTATAAAATTGGGTAATCCTTGGGGCGCCTGGGTGGCTGAGTCGGGTAAGCGTCCGACTTCCACTCAGGTCACGATCTCACCATCCGTGGCGGGCTCTGTGCTGGCAGCTCAGAGACTGGAGCCTGCTTCGGATTCTGTGGCTCCCTCCCCCACTCACGCTCTGTCTCTCAAAAATGAATAAATGTTTAAAAAAAATGTTTTTAATAGGGTAATCCTTGACTTGCAGCTTGTGGAATTGTTAAGCAAATGAAATCACACCCGTGGTGAATTCATCTGGAACGCCTTCTGTTATTAAAAAACAAAAAAAAAAAACCAGGGGCGCCTGGGAGGCTCAGTCAGTTAAGCGGTTAAGCGGCTGACTTCAGCTCAGGTCATGACCTCACAGTTCGTGGGTTTCAGCCCTGTGTCGGGCTCTGTGTTGACAGCTCGGAGCCTGGAGCTTGTTTGGAATTCTGTGACTCCCTCTCTCTCTGTCCCTCTGTCTCTCAAAAAAGTAAACATTAAAAAAACTTTTAAAAAACAAACAAAAAACCCCCTCAAACTGGCTTTAGTGAAGAGGGAACTTCATTGGCTCACATTTGTTCCCTCTAATGTGGATCCATTCAGGCACAGCTGGCTCCAGGGGCTCAAATGTAATGTCAGCACCTGATTTCTATCTGCCAGCTCTCCTTGTGCTCGGCTGTCCCCATTCTCAGTCTCTGAACGGTAGTGTCCAGTGGTTCCAGCATCGAATCCCAAGTTCAAATCCAGATTTCTAGGTGCTGGGATAGACTATGGTTGGCTCAACTTGGGTCATGTGGCCAGGAGGAGGCGGCTGCTTAAGGTGATCAGGTCTGGGTCCCAGTCAATCCCTGTGGTGCGGAAGCCTGGTCAGGCCTGGTTATACGCTTAACTCTCAGAGCTGGAAAAAAAAATAATTGGCAGTGGGGGGACAGAGGAGAAGCCCTCCTATACCTCATGGATTGAGATTGGAAGAGGAGTGTTTTGCCAAAAAATATTCCAGTGCTATTAAAGGAAAGGTAAGTGGACGCTGAGTTGCTAAAATGACAAACGGGCACTACACCTGGGCTTTTACATCACGTGATAGAAAGCACGCATCACGGCTCCTCTGTCTGCTGGGAAGGCGCTGTCCTCACCCTAACACGCTCCTGCAAGCCCCGGGGGAGCGGTGGCCTCACCCTATAGTCATCTGTCTTCCTCCGCCGAACTTCTGCAGCCTGCGGGACCCTATCACTCATTGGCAACAAGCTGTGTCGGGTCATTCGTTATCTTTTTATGTATATGTCCTGTCTCTGCGCTCACGTGGCAGGATTCCGGAGAGCAAGGGTCACGTCTTACTCATCTTTGTGTCCCTCGCAGCACTTTGCCTGGTGTTTGGGGGATGGCAGACAGTCCATAAATCTGCTGACAGATCGAACACCTGATTTATATGCTTCTGGAACCACAGAGGTAGACAGTAGCTTGATTCAACTACAAAACCACAGACAGAGAGGAAACCTGTGCTCTCCACACGGTTTCTGAAAGATCGTAGATCTTTTCTGGACTAAATAATACTGCTGGGGTCGGGATGAATGTCCTCTCGCTCCCCAGCCCCCAGCTGCTGGGAGCATCCTTATGTATGAAGGATTGAGTGAAGGCCCAAGGAACCTTCATCTCGCTGTTCAGGACCCCTGGGTAGCTCATATGCCCCCACAGCCCACCCAGAAGGAAGGGGAGGGGGATGTCTACCCTTAGTGGCCCCCACCGCAAGCAGTAAGGCAGAGCCCCCAGGTCCCATCAGTGGGACTGGTCGCTGGCTCTCTGCCTGCCACTGATCCTATTTACTCCCCATCCTCATTCATAACCCTGACATTCAGCCAAGGGAACGGAGAGAGAGGGTGGAAAAACCGGGTCAGAAAACATCTACCTGTAGCTTGGTCATTGAAACAACACTCCTCCCCCCTCGTCTAGGCCCCAAAGCCCCCGTGTGTCTGGTTTATAAGCCCCCTGCAGGCCATCCTGGGGCAAGTGAATGGCTCCTTGGTGTCTCATCCCTTCAAACCGCCCTCAAGGTCAACTGACTTGTCCAAAGCCGCACAGCTGGGTCAGGCTTCCCTCACCCGCAAAATGGGCAGACTGGTAACGAGGACTGAATCAGGGAGCCAGAGAGAGCACGCAGCTCGAAGTAGAAAGTCACTAAAATCAAACTAAGGAGTGGGAAGAAAGAGAAAGCATGACTGGCAAGGAAGGGGGTGATAAAGGAAGTCAGGAGAATGGTGGGTAGAGCGGCTGAGGGGAAACTGGGCTGCAGGCAGGGCCGAGGCCAGAACGGGACCCACGGGACGCAGCCGGGAAAGAGCGCCACTCACCCCGAGGCGGGAGCGCCCCGGACGCGGAGCGCAACTCCGAGGCCCCGCCCCGCCTGGCCCCACCCACTCCCTGGGTCCCGCCCCCTAGTCCCACCCCTGCCCTACTTCGCCCCGCCCCTTATCCTGGCCCGGAAGCGAAAGCCGTTCCGCCCCTTCCGAGCGGGGTCACGGCCAGGGCGCCGCGAGCCGGGACACCCAGCGTGCGGGGCTCTCGGCAGGTCTGGTGGTCCGCCGCCCGGCGCCATGTCCCGGAACCTGCGCACCGCGCTCATCTTCGGCGGCTTCGTCTCCCTGATCGGCGCCGCCTTCTACCCTATCTACTTCCGGCCCCTAATGCGGCTGGAGGAGTACCGTGAGTGACCTGTGACCCCGCGCGGCGGCCTGGTCTCAGTAACAACCCCCACCCCCCACCCACGCCCCGCACCTGTTCGTGGGGCGGTGGAAAGAGCGTGGCTCGGGAGTGAGGCAGGCCCGGGTTCGAGTCCTGCCGTGTGCGGCTTTGTGACCGTGGACAAGGGACTCAGTCTCTCCTGCTCTCAGTATCCTCGTCTATAAACGGTTATTTGTAATACCTAAAACAAAACCATTTAGCCTCCATTGAGACTCCAAAGTGGCAACGAAAGTAGTCTGCACATAGTAGGTTGACACTAAATGCTAGTTCATGCGCACAGGTAGCATTCGCTGAACGCTTACTGTGTGTCACATTAGGCATTCGTTGGCTCTTTTAAAGTCCACGACCTCACTTTAAGGTAGGTATTAATGTCCGTTCTGTAGGCAGGAAAACTGAGGCTCAGAGAGGTTGTATAGCAGGCCCAAGGTCACACAGCTAATACGTTGCGAGTCATATATTCCAATCCTGGCCTCCATCTCCAGGGCTTCTCCTGCACACGGAAACTGGGAATGGTGATATTGGCGGGAGGCAGAGGGAACCCTAACCGGCGTGAGCCTGAAGGTGTTTTTATTGCACTTCATTTCCACTCCCTGAGATGCCTTTGAGCGGAAATGTTTCAAACCTAAACTCTTAACCTGGGTGTTTGAATTCTTCCTCTCCTCTTCTCCTCCTCAAATCTTTTTTCAGATTCTGCTGTCTTCCTTCATTTTATGCGGGTTGCTCACATGACAATGGTGAATATCCAGGGAGTAATTTTCCTCCTTAATCATTCAAGTTCCATCATTCTAAAATCCAAACTCTCCTTCCTTGAGACCTATACCTCAGCGAGGATTAGCACTTTGATACATCTGAAACCATCTGTCAGAGAGAAAATATTAGGCATTAGAGGCTCATTTTGTTCTCCAGGAAACCTGAATCATCTTGAAGATGGAAGAAGGCCAACCCTGCCCCTTGAGAATATTAGCGGAGGCTGAAAGCTTGGAGATTTGAAGGCAAAAGCTCTGTGTAAACGCTCTGCCCGTTACAAATGCTACAACATTTGGTTTCTGGAGGTAGAGCAGAGTGATTTAGCTACACGCTCACATTTCCTTGTAGCTTCTTTTCATCAGCCAGGATTGAAATGGCCTCTGCGTTCTGCCTTCTAGCCTGTGTCCATGCTCCCTGCATGGGGGTAGACACGGGGCTGTGGGAAGCCCAGGGTAATCTAGTTCCATCACCCCTCCTGCCTGGGTGCCTGCCCCACACTGCTTTGTTAGGGCCTGTAGCGCTGGCCTTGGGACAGGGAGCTCTGCTTTGGATCCCACTGGCAAAGTTTCAGTTAGGAAGACGAAAGCAATGGCTCCGCTGGGGATGATTTTGTCCCCCAGGGGACATTTGGTTCTTTCTGGAGACATTTTTGCTTGTCACAACTGGGGGTGGAGTGGGGCGGTGTGAGTGAGCTACTGGCATCTAGTGGATAGAGGCCAGGGATGCTGCTAAACTTTCTGCAGTGCACAGGGCAGGGCCCCGTGACAAGGAATTGCCCAGCCCCAAATGTGCACGGGGCTGAGGTTGAGAAGTGCTCGTCTAGATCAGATTCCAAAGGTGTGAGTTTGTGCCATGTATCCCCACAACAGCCTTATAGGGGTGCCCTCGAGCCTATGCTTGTCCGAGGTGCTTGAGACAGAAAATCAGGCCATTGAGGTGAAAATTTAGAGAGCGTGGCTACAATATCTGCATTTTAACTGGAAAGCAGTCTACGGCTGCCCACTTTTCTGGTTCGATTTTCATTAATTTGGCCCACTCTTATCTAAGAGTCGTAGTTGATTCTTGAAACAAGTAAATGATACGAAACAGCTAGTATCTATTGAAAATTTATTACCTGTCTGCCTCTCCTCCAAGCACTTCATACATATTAACCCATCTAGTTTCCATTTGTTGTAGCTGCCGTGTGATCATCAACCCATTAAAAAAATGTTTTTTTTTAATGTTTATTTAGTTTTTGAGAGAGAGAGAGACAGAGCATGAGCAGGGGAGGGGAAGAGAGAGAAGGAAACGCAGAATCTGACGCAGGCTCCAGGCTCTGAGCTGTCAGCACAGAGCCTGATGCGGGGATCGAACTCACAGACCTGTGAGATCATGACCTGAGCGGACGTCAGATGCTCAACTGACTGAGCCACCCAGAGGCCCCAATCACTCCCATTTTATATGTGGACAGTATGAGGTATGGGAGAGTTAAGTGACTTGCACAAGGACCCACAGTGGGATCTGGGAGTTGAACCAGTGTACTTAGTCGCCACACCACCATACTGTGTCTGAGGCGGTGCGAGGGGGGAGGAAGGCAGGTGAGGGTCTAGGGTAAGTTACTTAACCTCCCAGAGCTCAGCCCATTTCTTCGTCTGGAGCACTAGAGTTTACAGGACTGGATTTACAGGTTTGGGGATGTATTAGAGCAGATGACCGGTGTGGAAACCCCGAGTGTAGTTTTGTAGTAGGCATCCCATAAAAGGGTTTAAAAACTCAGGAGCCACGGGGCAAGGATGTGAGACAAGGAGGTTGAAGCTGGGCTGGCTGACCGGGCAGGAAACTGCGGTCCAGGAAGGCGAGGCGGTGGTGACTGGGCGGTGGGGGCCTGGCGCATCTGTTGTGAGGATGGAGCTGCAATTCAGCAATTCAGCACCTTGCACTAGCATTTAGTTAGCGCCTTTTGCACTGTTGATAACGTGGATTTTAGCAATTACTGTGTACCCGGCGTTGCGTCTGGTGCCGGGTGTACGAGACGGAACAAGATGGGCAGAGCGCTTCTCCCCACCTCCGGGTCCCCACCCTCATCCAGCCCACTTCCCTCTCCCTCTCCCTCTCCGTGGCCTCTGAGCCGGGTCTCCCTGCTCCCACGAGGCCCCAGCTACCACTCATTCTCTACCCACAGCCGCAGTGGTCTTTCCGGTCGCTCTTGTTGCTGATTTCTACTTTATTTGCATTTGTGGTTAAAGAACAAGGACTGTATGATTTTGATTCTTTGATATTAGTCATGATTTGCTTTGTGGCTTAATAAGTTCAGTTTTTGCCAATGTTCCCTGTGTGCTTTAAGTGGGGATATCACCTCGTTATTTATAGGGTTCTGTGTCTGTCGATTCCAGATCAAGCATCTTAATTCTGTGACTTAGTATCTTGAGGCCATTTTATTAGGTACACACAATATGGAACATTTCTGGAGATTTTTTTCCAATTATCATCACGTGAAGGGTCCTCTTTATCCCTACTATTTCTGGCCAGCTCTATTTGATCAATATTATAGTTACTAGTATTGTTTTGGTTAGTATTTTCCTGTATATATATATATATATATATATCCTGTTATATTCAACCTCTGTCTTTAAATCTCATAACCAGACTAAACTGGAATTTTAAATTTGATCTGATCATCCCTTTTAACTGTTAGACTGAGCTCATCTTCATTTATGTTACCGATGTATTTATATTTGTTTGCTCCATTTATGTTGTTTTCTATTTATTCTTCTTTTCCTATAACTCCTTTATTTTCTCTTTTTCTGTCCTCGAGTTTTCTTTATTTTTCTCCTATTCTTTTGAAAGTTTTACATTCTTTCATGATTAAACGTTAAAGTTGGTCAGTATCTCTGAAATATGCAATGGTCCCACACGGCCCAACCTGCCTCATGTTATTTCTCCCCAGGCACTTAGTACTGTCGGAGTTTTGTACAGTCACAGATTGTTTCTCTTTGCCCACATTCTTCACTCACCGAGCCCTACATCTCACTCTTGTCCGGTGTCAGTCTTCTTCCTTCTGAGGTCCATCTGATAATATTTCTTTCATGAGCATTTGCAAGTGGGAAGATTCATTCTTGTTTGTCAGAAAATGTCTAGAACTCCAGTTTTCCCCGTGGCCGTTGAAAAGTCTGTCACCGTCCATGTGTTCCTTGAATTTGATCATCTTGCTTGCTTGATTAAAATACTTCCACAGCCCTGTGCTGCCCCCCACGTCTAGCCAGCAGAGGCTCATGGAAGTATTTTAATCGGGAGGGTGAGGTGATCAGATTTCACTGTCGCTGCCGGTCGAGGCTGGAAACAAGAAGGCCTTTTACAGGAACGCTGTAGCTTGGGGTCACAGGCGAGTAGGGGGAGGTGACTGTAGCCTGAACCAGGGTAGCAGTGTGGGACCGGAGACAAGTACTGGATTTGGGGGCTGTGTTTACGGAGTAAACTACAGGATGAAGGCGGACACGAAGGAGAATGACAGCTAATCTCCAGGCCTCAGCAGCTGAGGAGATGGTGGTGCTGGTCGCTAACTAAGAAACAGAAGAAGAGCTTGGTTTGGGGAGAGGATGAGCTAGTTCCGTTTGGGACGGATTGAGTTTTAGGTGTGTGGACGGACTCTTGGAGATTCCCACAGGCAGCGGCATGTGCCAGTCTGGACTGAGGCACTGGGCCCGAGCAGGGGCCGCACTGGGCAGTGGATCAGGACTGGCCGGGAGTCAGAGTCATGCAGTGGGGCGGGGGGGTTCCCGGGGGGGGGCTCCCAGGCGGCGCCGAGGGCCTGGAAGGGACCAGCTGGCCTAGGACAGCACCCCGCACCCTGGTGAACACGGTATTTGCAGAGCGAGTGGTCACAAGAAAGAGAGCCTTCAAAGGAAGCTGGGAAGGGGCGGTCAGAGCAAGACGACCGAACACAGCAGAGGCTGCTGCCCAGGTCCCCAGGGGACAGCTCTTCAGGGGCAGGGGCATGGCCCACAGGGTCAGGCAGGCTTCCTGGAGGCAGAGAGAAGAAGTGAAAATCTCCTTTAGATTTGCGAAGAAAGTGAAGGTCGTAGGTTCTCCGGCCAGGGATGCTCTCAGTGGTTCGGTGGCGGCCAGGGAGCAGGCTGCAGTGGACGCACGAGTGCGTAGTGTATCACATTGACTCTTTAAAGACGTTAGCGTGGAGTGGAGCATGCTATATTTGCAGCAGGTCAGGGGGTCTAGGG